TTGACAGCTATTGGAGTGGAGTTTATTAGGAATGATATCGAGTATAGAGTTTACGCTAACAAAGAGGTTATCGTTTCCGGCGGTAATTATTACACAAAAACAACTTTCATACTATTTTAAATAATATGTGATTTACTTTTAGGTGCCATAAATAGCCCACAATTACTAATATTGTCGGGTGTAGGCCCTAAAGATCACTTACAAAGTCTTGGGATACCAGTAATACTTGATCTACCGGTTGGTGACAATTACATGAATCATCCGGTTATAGAGTTTGGTCCACGGGTTAAACCCGAGTACTTGTATCTCGTCAACGAATTGTCACAAATTAATATAAAACAATTGAGTCAACTCTACTATGAGCAAGGTGGTGTACTCGCACAACACGCTAGTGTAATATTATTCTATAGCACCAAAAGTAACCAGGATAAACAACGGCCCAATGTCAACCTATTTATTAATACATATAATGGTTCATTTGTGGCCGCGTCCATTTTAACTCGTATTAAAAGTCGTGGTACAGTACGCCTACAGTCAACCGATCCCAGGGTTTATCCACTTTTAGACCCAAACTGGTTATCCCACCCTGATGATGTGCAAAACACATTAGAGATGACCAGGATGCAATTTTATTTGTTTGAGAAAACACAGTTGGCTCAATACGTTATACTGCCTAAATTTTCTAATTATGGCTGTCCGGTGTGCACCGGGAGGTATATTCACGAGTGCACAGAGGGGTTGATGTGTTGGATTAAGTATAACTCGTTCTCGTCTTATCATCCGTCGGGCAGTTGTCGTATGGGCTCAATAGACAGACCCGATGTTGTGGTCGACCCCCATTTGAGGGTTAAGTACGCGAAGAACCTCAGGGTATGCGACGCCTCTATATTTCCATCCCTTCCCAACGCAAACACCGCCGCTATATCTATAACTATTGGCTACAAGTGCTCGCAATTTATTAAAGACACATATGATTTGAAATACACAAATAAATGATAAAACATTTTAAACTTTATATCAGTTTATTTAAAATTGATTGTTAAATGTAGACATTATTTATGAATTGTAAATTAGGTTTTTAATGTACGGTATCCTCAAATTTTAAAAATAGTTTACAAATTAATAAACTAATTGAAATATTAATGGTCATTATTTTTACGAAATAAATTAAAATGGATTTTTAAATTTATATTATATTCTTGGTTACATCAGTGATAATTTTTAATTAATTTTATCTCATGAAATAATTAAATTTAGCATAAAAATTGATATAAGTTTACTATAAATCTCTGTTAAATATTCATATGAATTATTTGTCTAAAGATGTTCATTATTAGAAGTTTCATTTTATGAAGTTTATTAGGACTATATATTATTATGTTACAAGGTTAATTTGCGAAATATCATTAATATATATCTAGAAATCATTGACATTATTAAACATTTGCTCAAAAAACAAATATAAAAGACTTTTAGTTTTATAATTTATTATATTTAAAAATATGGTTGAGGTCACATTGATAACTTACAAACTATTGGTGCTTTCATGGATTACCGCTCAGAGACAGTTAATCCATGATAGGACGGCATCACGTGAGACATGGGACAGTAGCTATGATTTTATTGTGGTCAGAGGGGGTGGGTCAGGTGCTGTGGTGGCCAACAAACTCAGTGAATGCAAGTCAGTGCGGGTGCTATTGCTTGAGGCAGGAGGTGCTCAAAGTGCTACCTATAATGACATGCCCGGGATGGTTAATTATATTTATCCAGATGGAATCAATTATTGGGATTATTATTCTGAGCCCAGGCCTAACTATGGGCTACAATACTCTGGCGGTCGGGTTAAGGAACCCAGAGGTAAGACATTGGGTGGCAGTACTACACATAATTGGATGATCTATAATCGGGGGAATCGTCGGGGTTATGACGAGTGGGTCAATACATACGGTGCTGTCGGTTGGAGTTATAAGGATTTGTTGCCAGTGTTTAAGGAATGGGAGAATAATACCGATCCGACTGTTGTTGAGAGTAATCCCGGATATCATGGGACTACTGGTCCAATACAAGTGTCCGCACCTGTAAATCCTGATAAAATATATAATATATTGCAAAAAGTCGCAAATGGTTTGGGTTATATGGATATTGATTTTAATGGCGCTAACCAAGAGGGTTATATGTTGTCGCAATCATATGTTACGGGACAGGGGTTTAGGTCGGGAACGGGTAATGCATTCGTGGACCCGAATCCACACGAAGACAATCTGCATATCGTTTGCAAAGCATTGGTCTCAAGAATACTATTCAATGGGTTGACAGCTATTGNATATCGTTTGCAAAGCATTGGTCTCAAGAATACTATTCAATGGGTTGACAGCTATTGGAGTGGAGTTTATTAGGAATGATATCGAGTATAGAGTTTACGCTAACAAAGAGGTTATCGTTTCCGGCGGTAATTATTACACAAAAATATTTTTATAACATTTATATTAATTTTCATTTACTGTTAGGTGCAATAAATAGCGCTCAGTTACTACTTTTGTCCGGTGTTGGTCCAAAAGAACACCTACAAAGTTTAGGAATACCTATATTACTTGATCTACCTGTTGGTGAAAACTACGTGAATCACCCGAACCTTTTATTGGGAGCACAGGTTAAGCCCCAGTACTCATATCTATTGAATGAATATCTACAGATTAATATAAAACAATTAAGTGAACTTTACTTCGAGCACCGTGGTGTACTTGCACAATTCCCATCAGGGGCAATTGTGTTTAGTACCATGAACAATATGGACAAACAGTGGCCCAATGTATTTTTACTATTTTAAATAAATTATGATTTACTTTTAGGTGCCATAAATAGTGCTCAATTACTTCTTTTGTCCGGTGTTGGTCCAGAGGAACACCTAAAAAATCTAGGAATACCTGTATTACTAGATCTACCTGTTGGTAAAAACTACGTGAATCACCCGAACCTTTTATTGGGAGCACAGGTTAAGCCCCAGTACTCATATCTATTGAATGAATATCCACAAATTAATATAAAACAATTAAGTGAACTTTACTTCGAGCACCGTGGTGTACTTGCACAATTCCCATCAGGGGCAATTGTGTTTAGTACCATGAACAATATGGACAAACAGTGGCCCAATGTATTTTACAGATTAATATAAAACAATTAAGTGAACTTTACTTCGAGCACCGTGGTGTACTTGCACAATTCCCATCAGGGGCAATTGTGTTTAGTACCATGAACAATATGGACAAACAGTGGCCCAATGTATTTGTATTTTATCAGCCCGGGACTAATAGTACACTGTATTCGTCAGCAAATTTGGTTCGGGCTAAAAGTCGTGGAACAGTACGCCTACAGTCAACTGATCCCAGAGTCTACCCACTGCTGAACCCAAACTGGTTGTCCGATCCGGACGATAAGGTTACTGCGTTGGAGGCGATCCGGATGCAATTTTATGTGTTTGAACGGACACAACTCGCTAAATATACTACACTGGCCTCGTTTGCTGATATAGGCTGTCCTGTCTGTCCCGATAAGTATATGTATGAGTGCACAGAGGGTTTGCTGTGTTATTTGAAGTATAATACGGCCACCACTTTCCATACGGCCGGCACTTGTCGTATGGGCTCAATAGACAGNCTAATAAACTCCACTCCAATAGCTGTCAACCCATTGAATAGTATTCTTGAGACCAATGCTTTGCAAACGATATGCAGATTCTCTTCGTGTGGGTTCGGGTCCACGAATGTATTACCATTTCCCGCCCTAAACCCCTGTCCCGTAACATATGATTGCGGCAACATATAACCCACTTGATTAGCGCCATTGATATCTGTTTCCCTATATCCTAATCCATTAAATGATTTATACAAAACATTGTATATTTTATCTGGACTTTTGGGTTGTGACACTTGAATGGGTCCACTGGTCCCGTGATATCCCGGATTATTTGCCACTATATAAGGATCGGTATTATTCTCCCATTCCTTAAACACTGGCAACAAATCCTTATAACTCCAACCGACAGCACCGTATATGTTGGCCCAGTCGTCATAATCACGTGAATTACCCCGATTAAACACCAAATTATTATGTGTTGTACTGCCACCCAATGTTTTACCCCTCGGCTCCTTAACCCGACCACCAGGGTATCCTTGTCCGTAGTTAGGGCTGGGCTCAGAATAATAGGGCCAATAATTAATACCATCCCTGTATATGTAGTCAACCATCCCGGGTATGTCATTATATGTGGCACTTTGAGCACCTCCTGCCTCAAGCAATAGCACCCGCACTGACTTGCATTCACTGAGTTTGTTGGCCACCACAGCACCCGCAGCCCCGGCGCCCACCACTATAAAGTCGTACGTATTATTCCATGTCATACGCGAGGCTGTCCTGTCGTGTATGAGTTGCCGCTGAGCTGTGATCCACGAGAGCACCAGAAGTTTGTATGATAGTATGGATATGTGTGGCATTGTATGTGTGCACACGTTTTGCAAAAAGAAAACTCAACACAATTAACTTAATTTACAAAAAAAAATCGACTATTTGTTAAAAAATGATTACTTTGTGTCACAATGCACGCACTACTGATCTTGACACAATAACTTAATTTACTTTTTTAAATATAAAACACTTTCACTATATTTACAACATGTTTAATATTAAAGCAGAAATTATTTTACAATTTTATGAAACACACCATCAGCCACAAACAATTATTTATTAAGTACTGTAAATTTAAATAGAAGTTGCATGGTATGATCAGCAGATTAATTAAAAAAGCTTTTAATTGTGTATAAAGTTAGGTAAAGTTTGTCATAAATAAATAGATTTACAATTTGCTTAGTCTTACATTTATATCACAAAAACATAATAACTTGTTTTTGACAATAAATTGAAATCCGTTGTAAATAATGATTTACTTTCTCACCCATCACTAAGTTTTAGTGTCAACTAAATTATCTAATGTTTTGTTTAGACGTTTGTATAATAATTGAAAGTTTCGTCTTAAGGGCGGGTAGTATTGAATTATGGCAAACAATTTTATGCCACTGTTTGATAAATAATTCATATTGTTCATATTGTAATAATAAAAGTTCATATTGATTATAAACCGGAACTAATGACTGCATATTTACATTAATAAGTCAATTGATAGGAAACAATATGTAATGAAAATACTTTTAAACTTTAATTAATTTTTTTATAAATTATGTCATAATTATTGACAATAAATATGATCATAATAATAAATAATGCGTTAATCCACTTTACTTGAACATTTAATAATTGAATTTATTTTAAATCATAGCAATCCTTAATAAATTGCGAGCACTTGTAGCCAACGGTTATAGATATAGCGGCGGTGTTAGAGTTGGGAACCACTGGGAACACCGATGAGTCGCAAACCCTGAGGTTCTTCGCGTACTTAACCCTCAACTGTGGGTCGACCACAACATCGGGTCTGTCTATTGAGCCCATACGACAAGTGCCGGCCGTATGGAAAGTGGTGGCCGTATTATACTTCAAATAACACAGCAAACCCTCTGTGCACTCATACATATACTTATCGGGACAGACAGGACAGCCTA